AGAGGAGAGGAGAGGAGAGGAGAGGAGAGGAGAGGAGAGGAGAGGAGAGGAGAGGAGAGGAGAGGAGAGGAGAGGAGAGGAGAGGAGAGGAGAGGAGAGGAGAGGAGAGGAGAGGAGAGGAGAGTGATGGGGAGAGACTTTTTACAAGGGTATGCTGTGATAGAAGGACAATGGCCTCAAACTGAAACAGATACAGATTAAATATTAGGTAGAAATTCTTTGCTGTGAGGCTGATGAGGCATTGGCACAGCTTTCCCAGAGATGCTGTGGATGCCCCCTCCCTGGAAAAGAAGAAATGTGTCAGGTTTGCCTTAAGTGAAGCATGAGATGAAGCAGAATGATGCTCATTTGCACTCTTGTTTTCAATAAACTGCTGGAAATACTAGTAGGGAATCCCTCAAGTATTTATCATTTTTGTTTCCAGATCAAGTGAATGTTACATGAATTATCTGTATGGTCATGTAATTTCCATTAACAGTAATAGTAATTCTAAGCATATAGAAAGAGGGTGGCTTATCCTGTGATCCTCCCTATTACAAAGTAGTTAACTGATTAAGGTTAGGATACCACAAGCCACTTCATACCATCCGTGAACTCTCTGCAACCCCATTATCTTCATTAGGCTTGTGTGGGTGTAATTAATTGGTGTTTAGTTATCAGTTGTGTTGAATGAAAAGAATTTAGTTCTATTTCTCTTAGTTTTATTGGCCCCATGGTGCTAACAGGCTAAAGTGTAATTAAAAACTCTCTAATCAAAGTATATGTAACAAGAGCCAAGGAACAAACCCAGTGAGGAAAAGCCTGTGCTTGGTGTAACTCTAGCCTTTGAAAAATGGCTGGGTACAAGTGACACCCTATCATTTTTTTGCTTTTAAACAGTGAAGATATTTCACTTATATCAACATGTACATTAAAACCCCATCTGTATAATTGCAATAATGACATTCCTAGGGGTGACATTATATTTTGATGTCTTCTCAGCAGATTTTGCCCCAAATCTTCTATAGATTGCCTCTTATGTTGGTGGGTTGAGTGGGTTGAGTTTCTTTTGAGAGCAACCATACAGAGTTTTATCTTACCTCAAGCCTTTATTATAACTCTTGTGCGAGGAAAGAAATTACAATTAGCTATTCCTTGTTTATGATACTGTGTTATGTGTGTTCCCTTTTTCACATGCATCTCCTTTGGGTATAAATACGTGGTGCTAATGCTCTAAACCCAACTATAATACCACACACTTAAGGGTCAGATGAAGCATTTGTTTTTTGCTGTTCTAAAATGCCTCTTTAAAGATATACACTTGACCCTTAAATCAATTAAGATCATGGTCTCATTGCCATCTGTGTTCTTGTAGGATTTCACAGAGTAGTATGCGCTCATTCCACTGACAAGGGCTTCTTTAAAGTCAGCTATCAGTACATAAAAACTGCATTTCCAATAAAATCAGGATTGTCATTTTATCTCGGTGATACAAATTGTCTTCTATAGATATATCACTGCTTTTGAAGCATTTTAATTATTTTTAAAAAAAGGTTTTTAATGATTTTTCTTTTTATATCTAAAATGCTTCTATAGTGTTTCTTTTTATTCTTAATATTCTATATCCTCTAAGGAAAAAACTCCAGTAACAAAGCTAAATATAACTTTATGTATAAGATTAAACAAAAGATTCTGTCCTTGGACATGGCTGAACACAACATTTAGATTAGACTTTTATTGTAGATAAAAACTTGCAAGGACTTAAGGAATATATATATGGCATGTTTGGAAATTTCAAATAATTATTTAAGACTTCCCCTAACTCCCTCAGCACTATTATTTTAATTTCCCAAGTACTCCTATGTGAGTTCATTTGCCTTGAGTAATCATTCTCCGCTCCAATGGTTACTTCAAGTTGAGTGGGCTTTAGTACTAATTTCTTTCTAAACTTTGAGGATCCTTCCTGTGGGTCTGCTCAGCTCCTGCTGTGCGAGGGTGAGCCTGGCCTTGTCCACAGGAGCCTGCTGAACTGCAGGCTGAGAGCTCACAGGCTTTCATTTATCATCCTAACTCCAGAGGTGATTTGGAACACACAGGATTCAAAGACAAGTTTTTAAGATGAGTTTTGAGCTTACAGAAAGTTGTCTTCAAATTTACACATAGTTTTTAGTGTGTAGTTTTTTTCATGTAATGCACAGGTTGTTGATGAATGCTATGTTTAGTCTTGGATATCAGGAGCTTGCTACAGGATTTCCTTGTGTGTGCATTGGGAAGTAATGGTTGTGAACTTTAGGGCATTACTAAATCCTATGCAGCTCAAGGGTCCTGATGTGATGGATTACAGGGATTTTTGTCTGCATTGTCAGTATGCTACTCTGAAATGTTAACATACTTAGAAATATATATGGAGTCTGAATGTTATCAGGCTTTGTGAAATTAATATTTAGAATTTTCCTTTGCATGAAATGTGGGCTAATACATCAGTTACTGCATATAAGGTAATTTCAAAGAGGATGCAGCAGCGTGGCCGTAATACATTTATAGTACATAGTTCATAGTACAATTTATACAAGTGTGCAATCAAGCTCAGAGATAAATGGAGAGTTAGAAAACGGCAGACAGAAAATTTATTACAATGGGATTACTCTTTTCTACCTGTTTGTTGAAAGAAGACACCTTCCTGAAAATAATTACTTCATACATTTTCAAAGGTTATGAGTGTTAAAGCACCTTTTTTTTTTAATACTTTCCATTCATTACTCTCACTGTAAAGAATTTTTCAGAAGATATTTTTTTGATTGAAATGTTTTTAGCTTTACCTTTCAGGTTTTGCATCTTCTTCTTTCTATATTGAATTAGAAATCTAAATTTGCTTAAGTATTGGAGAAGTGGCACTTGCAGTTTCAAATGTAGAAACTTTTGGGGTGGTGGGAAGCAATTCATAGGTTATGTTACTGATCAGCAGAGCAAAGGTTTACATGGCTGAGAAGTAAAGCCTGACTAGATCAGATGAACTGGTGATCTGTGGGGAACATGAAAAATAAAGTTTGAAATCTG